ATTGCGAAGACACATCTAAGATATACCTATGAGTTGAAACTACCAAAGTACATGAGATCACCCGGGAACAGTATCTAGAGTAAGGAGAGCAATGCGCCAAGAAGAAAATACTAGAGGATAAGGAACACAGTTTGAATGGTGAGGTAGAGGCAGAAACTAGAGTGTAGCAGGTCAGAATGAATGGGAGCTAAACCAGTGGGGATAGTAAATGCAAATTACTCTAGGAAGAGCCAGGAATGAGAAAAAGAGAAAACATTAGATAATAGGCTAGAGAAGAATGTGGAAAAAGGGAAAGTTTATTGGCCGAGGGGAAAGAAAGCAGTCAAGTAAGGAGAAAAAGATGAGAAGGATGATGGAATGCTAGATGATGAACTGATACTATTAATTTATTATTATTATTAGGTAACTTTTATTGAGCATTTACTATATTCCAGGCTCTCTAAGTAGTACTTAGCATTATAATCTTATAAAAATCATTAAAAACCTACTAAGGTAGGTTTTATTGTCCTATTTTCACAGAGAAAGATGAGGTTTAGAGAAGTTAATCAATTTATAGTAAGTGTCAGAATCAAGAATGAACTCAAGCTTGTTTGACTGCAAAATCTGTGCTTTTTAAAAAAATATTTTTCAGCTCTTATTGAGTCAGTCTGTCTAGAAAACCTGTGCTTTTAACCACTTCAAAATAAGCTACTCTAAGATCAAAGGTAAGTAAAATGGCCTTAAACCGGAGTAGGGGAACCCCGTTTTCTGAAATGGAAGGAAAGGAGGTGAGAATGGTTGTGAACACAGATAACCTTTTAGATTAAAATGCAGAAAGTATTCATAGTAGGAGATCATACCTTTTGGCTTCACTTTTGTTGAGTAAGTATGAGGCAAGGTTATCTGCTAGGAGTAAGACAGGTGAGTACAGAAAAGGCAGCTTTGAGGAGAGTGACAAAGATTCAGAGAAACTTTGAGAGGAATGAAACAAGTAGCTGATTAAGGTCAAGAAAAGGAATAATTCAGTGAGTTGAGGGTTAAACTCATGGCGTTGGCAAACTACACAGCTGTATGATTTTCTACAGTAGCCTTCAGGCCTCTGTATTAGTGGTAGACAAACTATAACAATGATCCAAGTATGGACTTATACATATATGAAGGTAAACGGACAAGAGGTTGTAAGAAAGTAAGTTGGATCCAAGCATCTAGATCAAGTAGAAAAGGAAAGAGTCAAGCAGATTAGGAGAAAATGTCCAGGATATCTTTGGCTATTATAAATGGTTACCCGTGGAGACAAATGTAAATTCAGAGTTTAGAGACCATATGACTTATGAAGCCACAACTGAAAACAGAGAAGTTGGGTAGTTAGGACTGAGAATGGTATGTATAGTGGAAATGGATGATTAAAAAAAAAAAAAAAATCACCAAGATTGCTGTGAAATGGAACTTTAGACAACGAAGAGAAAACAAGCAAAACTTTTAAGTTTATATGGTGGGGAGGGGAATGGAAGAAAAGAGAAATAGATATATACCTTTAATATTTCATTGTGGCCTCCTTTCACATTGACAAAGAAAGCTTAAACAGACTTTCAGAACAAAATTATGTCTTTTGCAGCAACATAGAGGCAGCTAGAGGCCATCATCCTAAGCAAATTAACACAAGAACAGAAAACCAAATACCACATGTTCTCACTTCTAAGTGGGAGCTAAATATTGGGTACTCACCAATATAAAGATGGCAAAAAATGAAACTGGAGACTACTTGGGGGTAGGGGAGGGGAGAAAGGGGAAGGATCGATACAACTAATTATTGAGTACTATTCTCGGTACCTGGGTGACCGAATCATTTGTACCCCAAACCTCAGCTTCCACAATATACCCAGCACAAGTACCAAATCTACAATAAAATAAAAGTTGAAAAAAAAAAAAAGACTTTTAAACTACAGACATACACAAAAGTAGCTGGAGAGTTCATTACATCCAAGATAAACACAAATTCTGGCAAGATTATAGAGGATCCAAAAAGAATGCAGAAGCAAAATGCAATTTCAAATAGCTTTGCAAATAAAATGGAAGGCACATAGCTTCTTATTAAAAACAAAACTTAATACTTTCAGAATTGTAAAGAGTAAAGTCTTGATATTAGGACTTAAGAGTGTACTCTGGAACTGATAAGTCTTAATGACTGTATAGAGGGCTCAAAACATGAGTTAGATAACAGTTGCTTTTATAAAAGTGACTTCTGGGTTGAAAATTAGCTACTGTTAAAAAGAAAAAAGAGGCCATCAGCAGGATAGTTATTAAAGAATTAACTATAAAAGATAGTTTATTCTTGGATCATTTATTCACCTTTTTAATTATTTAACAAATATTTATTAGTGCCTAATATGTGCCAGGTCCAAGGGATAGAATGGCAAACGAGAGCACGAATGCTACTCTCAAAGAGTTTATAATCTATGGAGGAGATAAACGAGTAATTACAAAACAATGTGGTAGCGTTGTTATAGGGGAAGTAGGTGAAGGGTACTATGGCAGTATGTATAGGGACATCTAGTCCAATCTAGGGGAAGCTTCTTGGATGTTCAAGTTAAGATCTGAAGGCTGAAAGAAGGGGAGGCATATGACAAAAAGGCCCAGAAAGAGAAAACACACTGTGTGGAAATCTGGAGGCACCACAGCATGGCCAGGTTAGGGAACTAAAAGAAGTTCAGGAAGTCTAAAGAATAAAATGGTGAAAGCCACAGCTGAAGAAAGAAGAGCCAGGGTCCCATCAATAAGGGACCTGATAAGAGCGAGGGTCCCATCAATAATGGACCTGAAAAGCCACGTAAAGGAGCGTGAACTTCATCCTGTGGTGCGGTGAGCAAGATTCAATATGTGATCTCTAATTTCAGATTTCATTTCAAATAAACCTTTCAGTTAATACAACACAGAAAAAATGAGTGGGGAGGGGCTCAGGAGGCAATGGTGGTGTTTCCAAGGTAACCGCACCTCTCTAGAGAAGTGCTTTTTATTAAATACATATTCACTACAACTCTACTACGTGCCTGCAACTGATCTAGATGCTGGTGAATACAGGAGAGAACAAGAAAGACAGTGTCTTGGACTTCATAGACAGACAACAAACACATGAACACACAAATGAACTATAGTAATAAATGCCAAGAAGAAAATAAAACATGGAAATGAGGAAGAAGGCAGCCGAAATGGAAAGCTACTTTGGCTGCGGGCAGGGTGTCAGGTAAAACCTTCCTAAAGTGACATTTTTACTAATGCCGAAATGATGATAAAGTAGCCACATAAATATTTGAACACAGAATATTCCACGCAAAGGAATCTTTGGGTCTTTCTTCCACATTTGTAAAGAGCAGGTTTAACAATTAATTACTGCATGTGGATGCATGTGTGAAGTAAAAGTCTATGATTACAAGGCATACAAAATTAGAAAGCCACTTCCTTGGTTCAACGTATCAATTATATCCACGCTAAAAATCTTAGAGGCTGCAATGCAAAGCCAATTTTCTACTGACATTCTTATCTTTATTCTAAGTGAAAAAAAAAAAAAAAAAAAGGCTAATTAAATATTGTTATTTTTCTTAAATTGGTACTAGGGGTAAAAACAACCCTGAGTTGTCACCAAGGGCACTGGGTAGTCTTAGAAAGGTTTTAAGCAGAAGAGTTACATGCCCAGGTTTTTTTACATTAATACATTTGAATACTATGAAGCCAATAAAAACAATAATTATGAAAACTATAGCAAAGGTGGTATATTCAAAACATGAAAAAAAAAAAAGATTGCATTAGAGTGGTAGGATCATGGATGGCTTTTCCTTCTTTCGTAATTTCTTAAATATTGTAAAAGTTTTTGAAGAGAAAAGGCCAATGCTCCGCTCTACGGAGACGAGTATTAAGATGAAGCAATACAAAAACTGAATCAAAGAACAAAAATTTAGTTCACTTTAAGCCCCAAAAGGTAACTGCTTCGTTATTTGCCATTTGAGAGAAAGAACAAGTAAAAATAACCACACACACACAAAAAATCTTTAAATTATTGGAAAGATGAGGGGAAAAAGATCAATAAGTAGTCTGAGTTTCACAAATATTAACAGTTGGCCAACAATTATTTATTGAATGCCTGCACTTGGAAGTGGGGATACAGCTATGAACAAGGCAGGATCTCAAAAAACAAAATCATAAACACATACATAAATGATGCCAGTGCTATGATAAATGCTAGGAAGAAACAATAATTAACAGCGGATTACACGGTAAAAGCAAGAGGCTCACTAGACGAAACTTCTATTGAGCAGAGACGGTGTCTCATATGTTTGTACGCTCAGGGCTTTATATAATGGTCGATAAATGTTTGTTGACTGTACAAACAAATGAAGGTGACCAATGGAGAAACGAGGGTCAGAAAAACATCTGAAAAGTGTGGGTAAGTAAGCAGAGGATAAAGGATGAGGTGTTAGTGCAAAAACGAAATCTTAACTTTTAAGCATAGGTGTAACCTTATATTGATACTTTGAAGCAGCAAATTTCTCCACAGCCGGATGCAGGATTTGACATCTAACAGCAAAGCCTGCACTGACGTGTCCTCAGTATCCAGCCCTGATTGGCGCGCCGCACACCCCGCGTCCGGAACCACACAGGCTTCCCCAGCCCAGGGTCAGCGGCGCAGCCCGGAAGCTCCGAGGAGCTCTGAGGACGGCCGCCTTAGCTGGCGGCGCCAGCTCTAAGCGTGGAGGCCGGCGGACCCCTTCCAAAAGTGGACCGAAATTCCAGGGACGGATGCCGGGTGGGACCGCGGACGGCCGCAGGTCAGCCTCCTGACAGCCGGGGCTGAGGGAACCGGAGGCAGCAAATCGCACACCCTCTTCGCGCTCTGCGTCCCGGAGTAACTGGCGCAGGCCGCTGGAGAAAGACGCGAGACCCCGGACCAGCCCGCACCGCGGAGGACCCGAGAGGGCGATTTGGGAAAGGGAGGCGGACGGGTGTCGGGGCGGGAGGCGGTGACTCACCTGGGAGGTAATCGTGATGCTGGAGTCGATCAGGAAACTCATGGCGAAGGGTAAGGAGGGCTCCTGCCTCCACTTCCCACTCCCCGAGGCCACGGCACGCTGGGGCCACCGGACTCTACAGGCTGCCTTCTCCCAGGTGCCGCAGCCGGGACGGCGGCTCTCCAGGCTGAAGCCGTCAAGCTGCGCCCGAGCCAGCCAATCAGCGGCTACATCCAGAGCCCCGCCTCGGGCTCGGCGTGGGTGGGGCGGACGCTAGGCTCCAGCTGCCGAGGCCCCAGGGGCGGGGCTTATTAGGGACGATACTAAAAAGCCGATGCAATGCTAGGTAGCCTTAACGTTTCTGAGGCTGAAGGAGGTAGGACCTGAGAGCTAAGTGGTAATTCTGTTTTGTAATGATCATAGCTAATAAGATAATGATAATTATAGTAAGTCAGGCATTGTGTCCTAAATGTTATAACTTACTTGACTCGGCAAATATGACTGCACAAAGTGAAGGAAGACTGGAAAGTCAGATGAGACATTAACAAATATAACTAACCAAATACATTTCTGTGACAACAACGAAAAGCACACCGTCTGTAGCCATTTAGTGATAATATTGTACTGCATATTAGGCCACAGGTGGAGTACTGCACTCCGTGTACCACACTTTTAAGAGATTTTACAGGCCGGACACGGTGGCTCACGCCTGTAATCCCAGCACTTGGGGAGGCCGAGGTGGTCGGATCACCTGAGGTCGGAAGTTCCAGACCAGCCTGACCAGCTGAAAATACAAAATTAGCCGGGCGTGGTAGTGCATGCCTGTAATCCCAGCTACTAGGGAGGCTGAGGCAGGAGAATCGCTTGAACCTGGGAGGGTAGGTTGCGGTGAGCTGAGATCGCGCCATTGCACTCCAGCCTGGACAACAAGAGCAAAACTCCGTCTCAAAAAAAAAAAAAAAAAAAAAAAAAAGAGAGATTATACAAAGACATATTGGAGCTCACTCAAATGTGAACCACCAGATAAGCGCTGGTGGAAGGAGGCAAAGAAAGATGACTCAGAACATGACATCTGTCTTCATGTGAAAGAATGGGTAGAACTGATGTGGCGCTGACAGTTATCTGTAGGGCAAATGATTGGAAGTTAAATGAAGACAGATTTTAATTCAAAACAAGGATCAGTTCTTTAAGAGTCTGAAGAAGGGTTGTTTTAGGAAGTAGCTCCCTCTGCCCCCTTCCCACCTGTTACCATGGATCAAATATACACTGAATCACTACCTCATTCATTCAACACTCATTTCATGAAGGCTTAGTGCATTGCTGTGGGGCTTACTCTGCCACCGCCCTGGGGCCTAGCTAGTCTTTGTAGTCCACATAGTCTCATAGTCCTGCAAACTGGAAATCACCCTGTGTAGGAGTGGCTGCAGTCAAGACCCAGGAAGACAATCCTGAGGACACCTGACATCAGCATCTGAGTTCAGACTACTACAGTTTGAATAAGTGACTTGCAGATTCATTACACACAAGGGACTGTGTCTTCCTTTCATTGGATTGAATTCTGTCATACCAAGCAGTCAAAACTACCTCTTAGATGTCCAATCCCCGATCCAGAATTTCAAGGAGCTGTGGAGGCAGCTCTATTATGGGAGTGTCATAACCACAGAACTTTGTGTCCTGGCTATATCTATTAGGGAAGCAGGTAGATTCCCACATAGCAGCACCTAACCGACATTCAAGACTGTGTATAGTGTAGAGTGCTGAGAGAGACGATCAAGGCAAGCAGTTTACCTTGGTGGCTTACTGGGTTGCACAGTGGGGATCAGAGTCTCAGTAACCAGGAATAGCAAAGAAAGGTGTGCAATGCCTGCTGACCTAAGGCCTATGCAAAGCTTTGGGTGACACCATTCAGAATTCTCTCTACTCTACCACTTGTGTCCAGGTAAAGGACAGGCCTAGGTGATTCAAGGGACTGCTTTACCCTCTGATTTTGATTGAGGAATGTCTTTAGAAACCTTCACACTGCATTTAGTATCCAATTGACTCTCCTCTCAAAGCAAGTCTCTACTGCTGATGGTGGACTCTGACACTAAAATGGCTTGTCCTCCCATCTCTACCACTGGTAATATTCTCCCGATCCACTCTAGCTGCTGCAGTCCTCTTAGAATAGTGAGATCTTTTGGTTCTGCCTCCATGGACAGTCAAACCATCTGGGCTCCGAGTCCCCAGTTTGTGCTATTTTTCCAAGGGAGCTTTTCAAAATATGTCATGTTCATAACTAGTAGCCATTGTTTGCCACTCATCCAGAGATTGACAGCCAGTCCCATAGATGTGCTATAAAGAGTCGATTGACAAGGTGATCAGTCTGTGTCCTTTGGACAAGTGTTTGCTCACACCACTTTACCGTCCTTTTTCATAGCAACTGCAGTGTTCATACCTACTGTACTCTCACACTTTCCAGCACCATCCACATACTGACAGCTAACTATTTCACCCCCTTCCTCCAAATTAATGCAAAGGACTGGGCCCAGGAGTTGACACTAACACCGGATCCCTGGGAAACACCCTAGTACCTCTTCTCCAGGCACATACATAGCACCTGCCCATGCCTGTGGCTGGATGATCTCTGTTAGGGATTTTCTTCTGAAACTTTTTACTTACTGTGATATAGTTGTAGATTCACATGCAGTTGTAAGTCTGGGATCTTTTGAGACATATGATATCACCAATTCTGTGACATCCTACTCCAGTTTTCTCCCTTCATGGAGAGATATCCTATCTTGTAGTTTTGCCCACTGTGCCAGGTTCACTGAGTCTCAGAACTTCCCTGTGTGACCCACTAAGTCACCAGTGTAAGCTGGACAGGAATCCCCAAGTATTCAGAGGAAAAGTGTTTATTTCCCAATGGTCCCATGGACAGTATCTATACTTGATAACTAGAAATGTATAGGTGCAGTTTTCTCCACGTGTGGTTCTCTAACGACTTGGGGAGCTTATCTAAAATGTAGATTCATCAGCCCTAATGTAGACCAGTGGACTTGGGATTTCTGAAAGTGACTCCCAGGAGGAATCTGGGAGTCATAATAAATAAAAATTATATACATTTATCATGCACAAAATGATGTCCTGAAGTGTGTATACATTGTGGAATGGCTAAATCAAGGTAATTAGCATATGTATTACTTCAGATACTTATTTTTTGTGGTGAGAATACTTAAAATCTACTCTCTTAGAGATTTTCAAAAATGCAATACGTTGCTATTAACTGTAGTCACCATATTGTACAATAGATCTCTTGAACTTACTCCTCTCATCTAACTGAAATTTTGTATCCTTTGACCAACATCTCCCCAACCCCACCCGACCTAGCCCCCCCACCCCCAGCCCCTGGTAATCACCACTCTACTCTCTGCTTTTGTGTGTTCAATTTTTTTTTTTTAGAAGGAATCTGCATTTTTAACAGCTTCCCAGGAGATTCTTTGTATACTGACTAGGGACTGGTTGTGAGACTCTGCTCCCCACCTAAAAACTTCCCTAGAGTGAGTGAGCGCCTTCACACTAGGAAAATGCCAGCTCCGATTTGCCTAGAGAAAGGAGACCAAGGGTCAGTGCTAGCTTTGCTCTTTGCTTTTTTCCACTCCCGCCCCCCTTTCTCTAGATACGCTCACTGCATAGCCTCAGGAAGCCTAAGAATCTTTTCCAACCACTGTGCTTTGGCTCAAGAATTCCCCTTCGTCTTCCTTGAGTCTACTTTGAACCTCTTCCCCAGTTGGTTCTCGCTTTTCCAGACCTTCTTGGAGGTGCGTTCTAGTCCTTTCCTCTTATACAATCTCATTTTGGATATATCGACCTTGGTGCTGACCTGGTATGCACCGCCCTGTCCAGGGCCTTGATTGGTTCATATGAGAGTTAACTCTGTATCAAGTGCTTGGTTGTTCTTGAGGCCGTGTTCCTGAGGAATAAAGAGGATTAAATATTGTGTGCTTTTATGCAAGTTACTAAACTCTCTGTACTTCAGTTTCCTCATCTAAAAAATAGAGATAGTAATAGTATCTTTTCTCATAAGGCTATTATGAAGATTAAGTAATATATATAAATCCCTCAGGAAAATAAGCACTTTATAGTAAGTATGCAGTAATTTTTACCCATTATTATTATTATGAGTATACGTTCAGTTTTCCTTCATTGCTAATTAGTTTCAATGTATATTTATTTATTAATGTTTATACATGTATATTTAAAAGTTTTGGTTGTCAGTAAGTTCATATTCTTATTGTATGAACTGTTCCAAACTTCTGGTCACCTGCCATCTGTGCTCAGGCAGAGCAAAAAGCTCTCCCTACTGCCCCACCAATTCTTGCTCCAGGACTAACCTCTTCTTGGGATGACTACCAGCAGGGACATTCACTTATTTTAAAGAAGTCCCCACCTTTACCACTGGATTGAGATTTGCCACCATGATGTTAAGACAGTTGCAAAGGAGTACAACACTGGCATATTTCCAAAGTCTGGGATATTCATTCCTATTCTTGGTTAACGTGACGCATACCCACACCAATGCACATATACCTTTGGATTTTCCCAAAATTGGATCACAAGGAGTCCATAGCACTCCTTGTGATCCAACATTGAGAAAGTGGATCCTGTTTGTGTACCCCCAAAATGCATATGTTGAAGCCCTAGTTCCCGATGTGATAGAATTTGGAGGAGGGGTCTTTGGGAGGTGATTAGGTTTAGACGAGGTCATGAGAGTGAAGCCCCATGATGGGATTTGTGCCCTTCCAAGGAGATGAAGGAACCAGCACGCTCTCTTTCTAACAGGTGAGTATCTGATGAGAAGGCAGCTGTCTGTGAACCAGAAGGAGGGCCCTCACTAAGAAGTGAGCAGGCTGGCACCCTGATCTTGGACTTCTGGCATCTGGAACGGTGAGAAATAAATGTTTGTTAAATATATACACCTACTATATACACCCACAAAACTTAAGAATAAAAAAATTTAAAAAGTTTGTTGTTGAAGCCACCCAACGTATGGTATCTTGTTATAGTAGCTTGAACTAAGACAATGAGCATGCTATGTTGTTATATAGTTTTCATTATATTTCATTTTAGAAATATATTATGGGAGTGGGCACGGTGGCTCATGCCTGTAGTCCCAGCACTTTGGGAGGTCAAGGTGGGCGGATCACTTGAGGTCAGGAGTTTGAGACCATTCTGGCCAACATTGTGAAACCCCATCTCTACTAAAAGTACAAAAATTAGCTGGGCATGGTGCAACATGCCTGTGATCCCACCTACTCGGGAAGCTGAGGCAGGAGAATCGCTTGAACCTGGGAGGTGGAGGTTGCAGTGAGCTGAGATTGCACCACTGCACTCCAACCTGGGTGACAGAGCAAGACTTTGTCTCCAAAAAAAAAAAAAAACAACAACAACAAAAAAGAAATATATTACAGTCCAGGCATGGTGGCTAAAACTTGTACTCCCAGCACTTTGGGAGGCCACAGTGAGAGGATCACTTGAGCCCAGGAGTTTGAGACCAACCTGGGTAACATTGGGAGACCCTGTCTCTATTTAAAAAAAAAAAAAAAAATTAGCCAGACCTGTAATCCCAGCTACTCTGGAGGCTGAAGTGGGAGGATTGCTTGAGCCTAGGAGGTTGAAGCTATAGTAATCTGTGATTGCACCACTGCATTCCAGCCTGGGAGACAGTGAGACCCTGTCTCAAAAAATGTATATTATGAATATTTTCTCATGCCAAAGACTTTATAACATTTTTATTGACTCAATAACATTCCATCATATGGTTATGTCATGAGTAACTTAACCAATCTACCTTTTGGATTTTTTTTTTTTTTTTTTTGGTGTTGTTTACTATAATAAAATAATATGATGGTGAAGAATTTGGCCTGCAAGAAACACATTAAAGCCTCCAATTTTCCCTGGGTAAGGTCACTGTGTCTATGTTCCAGCAAATTCTGAGGACACACATCAAGCTCCTGCAAGACTGGCTACTGTGGCAGCCGGAGGTGAACCTGTGAACTTCTGCAGACGAATAGGCCGCTAATGACTAGTGAGAAAGAGGTCAGGCCTCCCTCCCAGCAAGTGCTTCCCAGAAAAGTCTCAGGGGTTTTCCTTGAGCCCCTCACTTGGAGGGGATGAGAAACACCACAGTTCTTTCTTCTAGTCTGACAACTCTCTTCAAAGACTGCTCCTATCGATTAACCTTTATCTTTCTTTTAAATAACCCAGAGGTGGATTATGAGCTAGGAGTTGCAAGACCATTTGGGGGCTACTTTTTTTTTTTAAAAGGAATTCTAGATTGTGCTTTGTACCACTTTTTAGAAAGTGTAGGCATTGGGCATTTATTGTCCTTGGTTATGTAACCTTACTGAAACTCCAAAACATAGGAAATATTTTGTTTAACATTTCATTACATATCCATTAAATCAGACTTGTAAATTACATTGAAGTCCTCTATATTTTTGTCTTCTATCAATTCGTCAAGGACTGAAGTCTTCTATTGCTACTATTTTTCTGTCCATATCTCCATTTTTTTCTGAAAGTTTCATGCAGCCCAGTGCCTTATTTTTCAGTGCAAAATGATTCATAGTATGTCTTTGTTGCATACGATATTTTGTATTAATAAAGATCAATATTTTGGTTTGATTTAATGATTCTGCTCTCATATTTTGTGTGTTTGGTCTTTAGTTTTGCTTTTTTTTCTGTTTTTTTCTTCTTTTTGCTATATGGACTGTATAGTCCTTGTTTCTTGTTTTGTTTCCCAGTAATCTGGAAGGCATCCAGTTTGTTTTAAAATAACACACACAACTTTATATTTTTCTTATTACTAACATAGAGAATAAAATAGCATCTTTGTAAGTTGAGAATACCAGGACACTTACACTTTCTCACATTTCTCCTTCTTTGTTACTACCTTCACCCCACACAATACCCAAGTTTATGTTGGTGTAATCTGGGATTTTAAACCTTACTTTAAAAATATTTTTTTGTTAAGGATTATTTATGATATTTGTATTCTGTTTTGTAACTATACTTAAAATAGTTACATTTAATTCATTTCATGATTAAATATCTTCAGTATTCATCATCAGCCTTTTTCATACTTTGCCTTCTTGATTTCTTTCTTTTTTTTTCTGAGACAGCATCTCACTTTGTTGTTCAGGCTGGAGTGCAATAG